ATTGGTGCTGCATGGTAAGGCATCTCCTGGTTAGTCTAGACTTACTTCATGTACAGGAAATTATCAACGCGCATGATGTATTTTGCAAAAAGCGTACGCAAACGAACGTTTGATTATTTCTTGGCATTTAAGTTTATTGCCTAAATTACCTGTTCAAAAATACGNGAAAATATTAAGCACTGTTATGGAAAGAAGGTGATGAGGTGAAAACATTCAATTTAAACACAGTTACGTTTGGTTTAGGCCCCGCCCCTTTCCTAACTATCCGTTGTTTAAAAAGGCTAGCCGAGGAAGAAGGCGAAAAGTACCCTCTCGCAGCAAAAATTCTTTCTGAAGATTTATATGTCGATAACATGCTCACTGGCGCAGAAACACTGAATGAAGCTCGCGAAATTCGAAATCAAATAACTTCTTTATTAAGTGCCAATGGGCATCCAATGACTTACGTATTTTAGACGGGTTAAATGAGGATCAGATTGATACGAATTTGCAGTAGAATAATCTAAAAACTCTCGGTATTTCATGGAATGCGAAAAACGATACCATCACATATCAAGTTAATTTTTCGAATATCAACTGTGCTAAATCGAAACGTACCGTTCTTTCCGAAATTGCCAAAATTTTCGACCCGTTAGGTTTACTTGGCCCAATTATTTTATATGCCAAAATAATTACGCAAGAAATTTGGAAACAAAAACTTAATTGGGATGAATCCTTAACAACTACTTTGCATTCATTATGGAGTGAATTTTATCATCAATTACCATTAATAAATAACATTTCATTCGAAAGAAAAACTGTAAGTTCTAAAAATGACTCAATTCAACTTCATGGTTTTTGCGATGCGAGTGAACGGGGGTACGGCGCTTGTTTCTATTTAAGATCGGTCGATAAACAGGGTAACATTTATTCTCAGTTACTTTGCGCTAAATCTCGCGTAGCACCTGTAAAAACAATGACTATTCCCCGACTTGAATTGAGTGCAGCGTTATTACTTTCGAAGTTATTTAAACAAATTATTAATACATTAAAGTTATCATTTGGTAAAATACTTTTTTGGTCGGATTCTTCAATAACTTTGCAGTGGATAAATACGCCACCTCACAGGTTAAAAACTTTTGTGGCTAATCGTGTATCCGCGATCACGACTTACACATCTGCAAATCAGTGGAAGCACGTACAATCACAAGATAATCCTGCGGATGCCTTATCGCGAGGTCAACTCCCTGAACAGTTTCTAAAAAATTCTATGTGGGCACCTGGGCCCCCCTGGTTAAACAAGGCGGAGTCAACTTGGCCCCAGTCAAGTTTACCAGGATTGTCCAGCGAATTGCCTGAAATGAAAAAAGAAGCATGTCTCTTAGCTACCAATGTGTCAAGTATAGAACAGGAGAATTGGGATTCAAAATTCGAGATATTCTCAAGATTCTCCTCTTATATCAAACTCAAACGGTTTGTCGCTATTGCGCAGTATTTAAAACGCGGAAAAACGTATTCGGGATCACTACACAGCGATGACTTAATTGAAGCCGAATATACTATTATAAAGTATCTTCAATCGGTTTACTTTGCCAGTGAAATACGCAACCTCGAAAAGAAGCGCGAAATAAAAAGAACAAGCAGATTGCTTTCATTAAACCCCTTTTTAGATAGTAAAAGTATTTTGAGAGTGGGAGGACGCTTAAATAATGCAAATTTAACATTTTCGCAGCAACACCCAATGCTAATCCCACAATCAGCCCATATCACTACTCTAATAATTAAATATTATCATGAATTATATTATCACGCCGGAATTCAATCTACGCTGTGTAATATTCGTCAAAAATTTTGGTTGCTTGACGGTCGAAATCAAGTTAGAAAGGTTGTAAAAAATTGTATTCGCTGTTTTCGTGCTAACCCCCCGACAATCGAATACCTCATGGGCAATTTACCTACCGTGCGCATTACTCCAGCTCGAGTTTTCAATAATGTAGGAATAGACTATTGTGGTCCGTTTTACATTAAAGAAAAGAAGTACAGAAATACAAAAAAAATTAAGGTGTACGTCGCAGGGTTTGTATGTCTGGTCGTAAAAGCGGTACATCTCGAGCTAGTCAGTGATTTATCAACTGAAGGTTTTCTCGCGGCATTAAAAAGGTTCATAGCTAGACGCGGACGACCCCAAAATATTTATTCGGACAATGGAACTAATTTTCAAGGTGCAAAGAACAAATTAGATCAAATTTATACTCTGTTTCAATCAGAACTTTATAAAGAAAAAATATCCAATTTCCTTACAGAGTTCCAAATTAATTGGCACTTTACACCACCATTGTCACCTCATTTTGGTGGATTATGGGAGTCCACGGTAAAATTGTTCAAACACCATTTGATTCGAGTAGTTTCTGATTTACTGTTTACTTTTGAAGAGTTAAATACATTTGTGATAGAGGTTGAAGCCATACTGAACTCTCGCCCCATTACTCCCATTTCAAACGACCCAAATGATCCTACTCCCCTTACTCCCGGCCATTTTTTGATAGGCGATTCTTTGACAAGTCTACCTGAAGCGGATATCTGTTCCATCCCTTCAAACAGATTGTCACATTGGCAACATGTCCAAAAGGTCCGACAGCACTTTTGGAATCGATGGTATAAGGAGTATCTAAATGAACTCAACATTCGCCACAAATGGACTGCCGGAAAACACACTGTTCAGGAAAATGCTATAGTGTTATTAAAGGAAGAAAACGTTCCCCCTATGCAATGGATTTTGGGCAGAATCATAAAAACATATCCAGGTGCGGATGGAATCATTCGAACAGTGATAGTGAAAACCGCAAAAAGTGAATTAAAAAGAAGTGTAAAAAACCTCGCATTATTACCAATTCCAGAAAACTATAAAAAAAAATAAGGAACCGTAATATAGTTAGTGTAGTTATGAATTGATTTAGTTGAGTGGAACCCTCAACTGGGGGGAGAATGTTCTGTCGAACTATTTCTTGTATTTTTTAAATCGTTTATTTCATGTTTTATTTTACGAAATGTTAACTTAAAACTTTCAAATTGTTTTTCATGCTATTCAAGAGAAAGGTTGCTGCTTTAGCGGGTGGTCTTTTTACAGCCATATGTAGGAATTGTAGACGGATGAGGGTTGTAAACCATTCTTTGACCATCCACCCTTCGGGGTGCTCATATTGAATAATAGCAAAGATTCTAAGAAGGAAGTTGTGAACGATTGGTCACGTCCAATATTTTTAATTTTACCAGGGAGTCTACTTAAGTCTGTCCTGTAAGACACACGCGTTTCACCTTTTTGTATATTTTTGTAACATTAAGTTTTTCTAGATTAAATAAGTGTTAAATTTGAGTTTTTATTTTAATAATCCAAACATATCGTCACTTACGATTAGTTTCAAGAGCGACAGTATATTGCTCATCATTATAAAAGAAAGCAATATTTTCCAGCTCCTGAACATGAACGAAGACCGATTCCCAAATATTTGCTACCAGAAATTTATTAAATTAGATCAGTAGCCGAATAATATCACAAAATATAATAGGTGCTCCCTGGTAAGGCATCTCCTGGTTAGTCTAGACTCACTTCATGTATAGGAAAGTCAAAATTCACTTACAGCTTTAGATCACTATCAAGCAATAATTGATACTTTTATTGAAAACGCTTTTCGGGAAGACGTCAATAAGGCCTTGATTTCCAATTATCATTCGAAAGAAAAACTGTAAGTTCTAAAAATGACTCAATTCAACTTCATCTTTTTGGCGATGCGAGCGAACGGGGGTACGGCGCTTGTTTCTATTTAAGATCGGTCGATAAACAGGGTAACATTTATTCTCAGTTACTTTACGCTAAATCTCGCGTAGCACCTGTAAAAACAATTACTATTCCCCGACTTGAATTGAGTGCAGGGTTGTTACTTTCGAAGTTATTTAAACAAATTATTAATACATTAAAGTTATCATTTGGTAAAATACTTTTTTGGTCGGATTCTTCAATAATTTTGCAGTGGATAAATACGGCACCTCACAGGTTAAAAACTTTTGTGGCCAATCGTGTATCCGAGATCAATACTTACACATCTGCAAATCAGTGGAAGCAGGTACAATCACACGATAATCCTGCGGATGCCTTATCGCGAGGCCAACTCCCTGAACAGTTTCAAAAAAATTTTATGTGGGCACATGGGCCCCCCTGGTTAAACAAGGCGGAGTCAACTTGGCCCCAGTCAAGTTTACCAGGATTGTCAAGCGAATTGCCGGAAATAAAAAAAGAAGCATGTCTCTTAGCTACAAAAATTGACAATACACATCATCACCAGACGACTGTGTGTCAAGTACAGAAAAGGAGAATTGGAATTCAAAATTTGAGATATTCTCAAGATTCTCCTCTTATATACTCAAACGGTTTGTCGCTATTTAAAACGCGGAAAAAATTATTCGAGATCACTACACAGCGATGACTTAATTGAAGCCGAATATACTATTATAAAAATCTTCAATCTGTTTGCTTTGCCAATGAAATACGCAACCTCGAAAAGAAGCGCGAATTAAAAAGAACAAGCAGATTTCTTTCATTTAACCCCTTTTTAGATAATAACGGTATTTTGAGAGTGGGAGGACGCTTAAATAATGCAAATTTAACATTTTCACAACAACACTCAATGCTAATCCCACAATCAGCCCATATTACTACTCTAATAATTAAATATTATCATGAATTATATTATCACGCCGGAATTCAATCTACGCTGTGTAATATTCGTCAAAAATTTTGGTTGCTTGACGGTCGAAATCAAGTTAGAAAAGTTGTAAAAAATTGTATTCGCTGTTTTCGTGCTAACCCCCCGACAATCGAATACCTCATGGGCAATTTACCTACCGTGCGCATTACTCAAACTCGAGTTTCCAATAATGTAGGAATAGACTATTGTGGTCCGTTTTACATTAAAGAAAAGAAGTACAGAAATACAAAAAAAATTAAAGTGTAAGTTGCCGTGTTTGTATGTCTGGTAGTAAAAGCGGTACATCTCGAGCTAATCAGTGATTTATCAACTGAAGGTTTTCTCGGAGCATTAAAAAAGTTCATAGCTAGACGCGGACGACCCCAAATTATTTATTCCGACAATGGAACTAATTTTCAAGGTGCAAAGAACAAATTAGGTCAAATTTATACTCTGTTTCAATCAGAACTTTATAAAGAAAAAATGTCCAATTTCCTTACAGTGTTCCAAATTAATTGGCACTTTACACCACCATTGTCACCTCATTTTGGTGGATTATGGGAGTCCACGGTAAAATTATTCAAACACCATATGATTCGAGTAGTTTCTGATTTACTATTTACTTTTGAAGAGTTAAATACATTTGTGATAGAGGTTGAAGCAATACTGAACTCTCGCCTCATTACTCCCATTTCAAACGACCCAAATGATCCTGCTCCCCTTACTCCCGGCCATTTTTTGATAGGCGATTCTTTGACAAGTCTACCTGAAGCGGATATCTGTTCCATTTCTTCAAACAGATTGTCACATTGGCAACATATCCAAAAGGTCCGACAGCACTTTTGGAACCGATGGTATAAGGAGTATCTAAATGAACTCAACATTCACCACAAATGGACTGCCGGAAAACCCACTGTTCAGGAAAATGCAATCGTGTTATTAAAGGAAGAAACCGTTCCCCCTGTGCAATGGATTTTGGGCAGAATCATAAAAACATATCCAGGTGCGGATGGAATCATCCGAACAGTGACAGTGAAAACCGCAAAAANCTGTTTACTTTTGAAGAGTTAAATACATTTGTGATAGAGGTTGAAGCCATACTGAACTCTCGCCTCATTACTCCCATTTCAAACGACCCAAATGATCCTGCTCCCCTTACTCCCGGCCATTTTTTGATAGGCGATTCTTTGACAAGTCTACCTGAAGCGGGTATCTCTTCCAAACAGATTGTCACATTGGCAACATATCCAAAAGGCCGACAGCACTTTTGGAACCGATGGTATAAGGAGTATCTAAATGAACTCAACATTCGCCACAAATGGACTGCCGGAAAACACACTGTTCAGGAAAATGCAATCGTGTTATTAAAGGAAGAAAACATTCCTCCTATGCAATGGATTTTGGGCAGAATCATAAAAACATATGCAGGTGCGGATGGAACCAGTGAAAACCGCAAAAAGTGAATTAAAAAGACGTGTAAAAAACCTCGCGTTATTACCAATTCCAGAAAACTACCTAAAAAATAAGGAACCGTAATATAGTTAATGTAGTTATGCTTTGAATTAGTTGAGTGAAACCCTCAACTGGGGGGAGAATGTTCTGTCGAACTATTTATTGTATTTTTTAAATCGTTTATTTCATGTTTAATTTTACGAAATCTTAACTTAAAACTTTCAAATTGTTTTTCATGTTATTCAAGAGAAAGGTTGCTGCTTTAGCGGGTGGTCTGTTTAAAGCCATATGTAGAAATTGTAGACGGATGAGGGCTGTAAACCATTTTTGACCACCCACCTTTCGGGGTACTCATCCTGAATAATAGCATAGATTCTAAGAAAGAAATTGTGAACGATTGGTCACGTCCAATATTTTTAATTTTAGAGCAGAGTCTACTTAAGTCTGTCCTGTTAGACACACGCGTTTCACCTTTTTGTATATTTTTGTAACATTAAGTTTTTCTAGATTAAATAAGTGTTAAATTTGAGTTTTTATTTTAATAATCCAAACATATCGTCGCTTACGATTAGTTTCTAGAGCGACAGTATATTGCTCATCATTATAAAAGAAAGCAATATTTTCCACTGGTGGTTGCTCATTTTTAGCTAGCCGACAATACATCGACAGGCATAATAATGTTGCTAAACAGATATACTCGCTGTTAGCCAAAAAGTTTAAACTCATAGATCAGATAGAG